AAAGGCGAAAGGGCCGGTACACGCCCGCAAGAGCGGACCAACCCCTCCCACCCAAAATCCAACTACGAGCTTTTTAACTGCAACAACTTAAATATACACTATTGGAGCAGGAATTACCGCGGCCGCTGGCACCAGACTTGCCCTCCAATGGATCCTCGTTCAAGGAGTTTACGACTGTTCTCATTCCAATTACCGGACTCGAAAGAGCCCAGTATTGTTATTTATTTGTCACTACCTCCCTATGTCAGGATTGGGTAATTTATGTGCCTGATGCCTTCCTTGGATGTGGTACCCATCTCTGAGGCTCCCTCTCCGGAATCGAACCCTAATTCTCCGTCACCCGTTACCACCATGGTAGGCCTCTATCCTACCATCAAAAGTTGATAGGGTAGAAGTTTGAATGGAACATCGCCGACTCAAAGGCCATGCAATTCGACAAGTCACCATGATTCGCCGCAACAACGGGCAAGCCCGGATCGRCCTTTTATCCAATAAATACATCCCTTCCAGAAGTCGGGATATGCTGCATGTTTTAGCTCTAGAATTACCACGGTTATCCGAGTAGTAAGGAGACCACCAAAGAAATGATATCTGATTTAATGAGCCATTCGCAGTTTCACAGTGCAAAGTGTTCACACCTAGACGTGCATGGCTTAGTCTTTGAGACAAGCGTATGACTACTGGCAGGATCAACCAGGTAGCGGCTGTAACGAGCAGCCGCAAGGAGCGACGGCCGAGGCGCACGTAGGCACGTCACGCCGGACAGGCTACCAAAAGAACGTCAAACAATCGTGGAACGTGCAATGAGCTGTTGAGACGCCGCGAAGTCCGGCTGTTTGAATTGCAGGTGAACTTCCCTCCGTAGGCCGTCTCCAACGGCAAGGTACCGCACAATCCAACACAGCCCGCCGCACCCGTCACACCACACCTAGAGATCGCAAGTTAACCACACTACCCGAACAACGGTGCGCGCGAAGGAACCACCGACAGCTTCGGCCCACAGCCGGATGCCACCGCCCGCCCAAAACGTACCGACAGCGAAGTGCACAGCCTCATCTCTCCATCGAGAGACACGAGTGAAGAGAGAAACGAATGCACCACGCTTCCAACACGCCCGGACGGACGGAAAGCCTCCACTTGTGCACGGGGGCGGAAAAGGAACACAACCCCTCTCCCCCCTAGGTCCACATCCGCCGGTTGCCGCGGGCACCACCAACATCACTCGACGCAGGCGAAACCCAGGAGAAAGAGGACAGTAGCCTTCGAAGCCCACAACCTAAACGCAGCGGAACCATGACGCAATGCTATCCGTCACGGTGTGCCGCATAACGAGACCACAGCATGGGGGACACAACAGGCAGAAGCGCGCATTCCAAAAAGTCGGGAGGATGACGGGCCCAGCCTCGCGATGCCGTCGGAGGGTGCATCACGCATCCCACAAGTCTCCGCCCTCGCATACGGTAAGCAGCGCGCGCATGGCGGAGGCCATCTGCGCCACCGCTCAATGGCGCCGCTCAGATGGCGAAGAGCGCAGAGCATCTTCACCAAGTTGTGACACCCCCTCAACACAAACGGAACACTCCGTTGTGAGTGCGGACACGAAGACGACACCACAACAGAGCCGCAACAACTTTCCCCGTAACTTACGGGATGATGGTGCCGAAGCTGAGAGCCGGTGACGGGCACCTCCGCCTCCACACCCTGCAAACGACCGCCAACCGGACCGCCGTCGGCAATCAGGCGCCAATCATCGCAAGACTATGAGCGAGGGTGAACGCAACCATCCACAACCCGGCACCACGGCACATGAAAGCCCTGACAGCCGCGACCGCCGCCAAGGATGACCGAGCTGTCGTGAAATAAGCCCTCCGAGAGAGACGACCATGGACCCGAACGGCGCCGCAGAAATGTTCTCTCGACCACCAAAGCACGACTCGCCCATCCCTCGCAAACTGGAAACCACCCAAAGCGTGTGAAGAGAGTCCCTCGTAACTCGAGTACAAGGTCCCAAAAACAACGCCCGAAAAGTCGCCTTCGTCGACTGCAAGGGGGCTGCTAAGCACGCAGGCCCCTATAAGAGTGCAAACTGGACTCAGAACCGCCAGCCACCGACCGTCTGGCACATCCGGAGGGTGCTCACTGAGCCATCCGCCGAGGGACCTGCACATGTCCCTTTCCAGCAAGCTGACTGAACAGACCCCAATGGCGATTTCTCCCTCGGAACCTCATCCCTTTCTGCTCTCAATAAATGCCTCTGGACCTTCGATCCTGGGAGACCCCCTTTTCTCGGGGCCGTTCCTACGCCCGAGTGGCAGTCCGCAGTATCTGATGCCCCCACAAAATTCGACACCTCAAAAGTCCGTCCCATCTCCGTCCTTTCCACACACAAAGGGATAAGGGGAAGGGCCGGGGAAAAAAAATAAATACATTGAAAAAATAAAAAAGGGACGAAACAAACAGAGAAAAGGCCAAGCAGCTTCTGTGCCTAAAGACTCAGATCACACCGCGGTGTGGGAGTGAAAAGTTTACGGGAAGTCTGGCAGAATCATGCGTCCGTTGTGGGGTTATGTGTTGGCGAACATGACTGGACACGCACTCCAGAAAGAGAAGGGGGGAAAGAAAAGTCAAGGATGACTCGACAAAATCGTCATTTCAATTTGTGTCGGCCCCGAACAAAAATGCATCTGGCAGAAGAAGCGAGGCCGAAAACCCGACGGCCATAACCATTTCCGTGCATGTCTCGGAAAACACCATGGAGCCAATCAGGTACCTCCTCCAGTGAAGCAGGCCGCCAAGATCACGCGCAGGAGCGGGGAGGGCCGGATAGGGTAGGAAGTGAGCCGTTTGCCCCCGCCATGAACATCATTTGGGGGGGAGGGGGCACAAAGGGCAGGAAGTGGCCTCTCTGTTCCCAAAGCTGGGGGGCGCGCGGCCCCACCAAGATCATGACTACGCAGTCGCGTGGGGAGGGCCACGTAGGGCAAGAAGTGGGTATTTTGTTCCCAAGCCATAATATTACGCACACACATGAGGAGGGTCAGATAGAGTGAGAATTGGCTTTCCAGGTCCGAAACACCAGGGGCATGCTTCGCGCACCCCCCACCACGATTACGCTTGTACGCAGGGGGGACCAGACCCCCTCCGTCTCTGCCCCTCTACTAAAAATCTTCCGTTAAATTGATTGAATATTTGCTTGAGCAAACTTTTATCTACAGAATGAGAAGATTCAGAATTTTGTTATCATCATGAAAGAAAGGTGAATCCAATAGGGGAAAAAAAAAAAAAAAAAAAAGTCATACACATAATATTATA